GAAAATCATCCCCTCCTGAAGACCATCGTCCTAAACCCACCATTTCAATAATATCTGAGAGAAATAAAGAGGCTGCGGATTCACGTGAATTGATGCATTGCTGAGAAAAGCAAAATGCAGTCATGCCTGTGACCCTTCCTTGTTATCTCTGAACCCACCTCCTCTATCTCTGGCTCCTGACTCCTGCCTCATACGAGGAATTTCTTTTTAATTTAAAGATTTCCCCTGGATTGAAAAGTTAATGGTATTGGCATCATTTATTCAGTAAGGCATGCCCCCTGCAGAATAATAGGTGGATAACATTTATTGATTGGTAATAGAAGTCATAAGTTTATAAAGGGCCCAGCACGTGAGAAAACCGCTATAAGAATTGAAATCCCAGCTGCAATACAATGAACAAGTAATGGGGTTTGAGGTGTGCGACGGAAGGAGGGAAGCATGCTGCAGAATATGTATTAGTCACATGGTCCGCAGGGCTGCTCGGAGCTGAAGAGGAAAACGCAGGAAGGACGGTGACAGCTCCAGCAGGCCAGTGGGAGACGTCGTTGAACAGTGGCTCAAGCCTCTTTCCACGCGAGCCTCTTTGCTCTCGGGACCTGCGTACCGTAGCTCACGTGAGGATGTGCTCCGTGTCTTTGTCGGTGACATACTTCAAGGCACGCAGGATACTAACGAGCACTTTCTCTTTGGAGTCGGAAACCCGGAAAAACAATAAATGTTTATGGAAGGTGGTAAAATTTTAGGGCTCCATTCACAACAAATGTTAAACACAGGAAGTCTGGTGAAAGCTCAGGCGTCGGTGGGACTCTGCGCCGGCAGGGAGACTCCGGTTTGGCTCCTGCTGGAGGGAGCCAGTGTGCGGAGAGGGAAGGAATTCCTTCCTCTGCGGCACGCGGCCCCATCGCCTCCCAGCTGCTGCCGGTGGCAAGAGCCCATGAATCTACAGGCTCTAGGGGCACTTTCTCGACTCTTCTCAGTTTAGAAATTCTCTTCTGAGCCTGCAGTGCTTTCCAACTCTGCTAGCGACTCCCACAGTCCCGTCTCCCACAGGCCCGTCTCCCACAGTCCCGTCTCCCACAGGCCCGTCTCCCACAGGCCCGTCTCCCACAGGCCCGTCTCCCAC